GCACGTTTGGTTTTACGCACTCTATACCTCGGTTGTCAAAAGTCTGTCGTAATGAGATAAAAACATGCTGCTGAATTAGTTGGGGATGATTTGATTCTAAATTAAACAGGGGTCAGATTATTTTGGACTGATCTTACTGAAACTGTTAACAAATATTAGTACGACTGGTAATTCCACTGGCATCTATATCACCTCATGTTTGATGAGCTCGGGTGTCAGATGGACCGTTATTCTGATCCAAAGACTATCGCTGCAGGTTTTTTCAACTGAAAATAGATCTGTGTACTTACGTTCTATTTTCCTCCTTTCATATGTGACACTTTCACCACATTTCTTCTTTCAGCACGCCTTATAATCCAGGAATTTGTAAAATTTCTGCTAAATTTGGTACGAATAATCTCCGTTGTTGCCTAATCCAAACCTTCACAATTAGGCCAGGAAACAAGCGTCCTTTGGTCACTACTGCAACGAAAATGGATTCAGTTGCCGTCATAATCGGTCGCCGACTGAAAAGCGTAATCAAATTCATTGAACAATCTATCAACAAATTAATTGTTGCTAACAGTTTACCGTAATCCTCTCGGATCTCTTCCGTGTAATCCAGAAAGTATTTGAAGAAGTATAACGGCAGATCCTATTTCGCTGGTTTCTTCTCGTGTCTATATGTACCAGTTTGTCCTTTTAAGACTGGCGGGACGAGGTAGATCAAGGGAACACTAGGTCACCGTAACAACCGATTAACATTTCCTGCATTTTTCATTGCTATTCACAAAATTGACTTGACTCGTCTTGACGACAAGTTTCACACATTTCCTCCAAATTTCGCTGAAATCTATCAATTAGTTTACATTTGACGATCATACAAATTGGCTTTCAAGGGTAGAAAGATGAACTGTCGATCTGGCATCAAAGGTGGTCTGTGCTATCTAATCCATCCTCACACAAGATGAAAACAAAATAGCAAGCCTTTAAGGTAACCCCGATTATACCAATTCAACTTGCAACTCAATCATGGCTTTGGTGAGGCAACTGGGTTTACCACCGGCAAAACGTTGAAAGTTCCCGTTTGCATTGACAACTTGCCGATAACCTATCACTCGGAGTGAGTAAAGTACACGTTGTTTAGGTCACCCCGTTCCGTTGTTCTTATCTGCTGACTCATCCAAGAATGCATGCAGCTGGATTCATTCCGTTTACGATGTTGGCGTGGGTTGTGACTTGATAGGAACCCATGTGTTTGATACTTCTGAAGAAGGAAAACGGGTAATTTCATCATGCAAAAACGATTCACAGGACTTCCAAGGCATAGTTACTGTAGGAGAAAAAGACGTCATCTGTCTGCTTCTAAAACTGTCACGAATGGGGTGTGAAATTGCAGAAAACAGGCTCCGCATGTGTTCTTGTCGCTGTGTTACGCGCAGATGATCATTGTGTAAATGTAACCGTAACGCGTGGGCCTTCTTCCGTCAGTGTACTTCTTCTAATTTGAGTCGGAAACATGTCATTATGTGATTGATCAGTGAGTAATGCGATATTCTCGTCATTGAGGAAGGTTTATACCTGGAGGGACACACCGAGACTGCAAGTATCAGGAGGTCAATGAAAAAAATGTGGTATATCAAAATGGTACGATAAAGTCTGTGTTTTGTACTATTCATATCCCATTTCACTGTACATACCATACTGCTCTATAGATTCACCTGAAAGCCGTTTACCCGTGTATACACGGACTATACAATTTCACGAAGCTAACCGTTATTCGTTGTAAAATATATTTTTCGAGTCATTTCATCGTCAGACTGTTGGTGGATTATAGGTATTCACAAAAAATGCCAAACTAACATGTTCCAATCAATAGCGTAATCGATCCAAAGTGGCCTTTTTCCCAGTTGCTTTAGTCTACTTTGCTCTACTTCTTGGCCTTGGCTTTGGTATTTCTGAAAATATCTCACGATTAGCACCACAATGCGAATTTTTTATTCGGGATTGAGGGAGTGTGACTGTACGGAAATCGGGTAGTTTTGCAAATGATTTTCTATCGTCGTTCTAATATCAACTTGATTATTAGTGCATTGTCTTGAGCAAATAACTAAGCCTTAACAAACAGTCACACAAATTTAAGGTTCTATCCTCATCGTATTTGTCTGCTCGTTATCTCAATTCACTGGCGAACAAACAGATATGCCTGGACCGAGGAGCTAATCTACTAGTTGTTGATAAATGTGGCCACACTGCTCTGCATTTTGCCTGTGCGAGAGGAGACTTGGATTGTGTGAAACTTTTATTGGACCACGAGCCAAAACTGAAATCACAACTGATTCGATGTGTTGATGAAGACGGTCGCACAATACTTCATCAGGCCGCAATGGGTGATCATCCGGAGATGGTCGACTATTTGGTCAAAATGGTAAGTTTGAAAAAGAGCTAAATTGAAAAAAGCAAACTCTGTGTATGTTTACGATTTCGTCAACTTGCGTGGTGTGAAACGGTGTTTGTAGATAACTGCACACATATGCTACTCGTTACGTGATTCAACCTGACCATAACCAATAGGACAGTCGGTCAGAAGTTCGAACCACCTTTCAAACAGGAATGATCCAAAGGTATCCATCGTCGATCACATACTGTAGTTGCCCATTCACGAGCTTATCCTATATGTTAGACTGTTAGAATCTTGTTGATGAATGTAACAGTTGAAATATAAAACGGAACCGTGATGCGAAAGTAGATCATAGCGGAGTAGAGAGATTTCCTGGACAACTGAGGAATGACAAGTCACGTATTTGTTTGCAGAGTGCTTTGATTGGGGGCTTCACTTGAATTCACTTCTACTTCACTTTAAGGGAAGGCGATTCAGAACGAGTAAAATAATGAATCAAATCCCCAAATAGATCAAAATTTGCAGTAAGTTGTGAGCCATTAGTTGTAAGTATTTCCCGCCCACTTCGCGACGCTCGATGTTTAATGACGGGCAGCTGCGTCGTACCTCAAAAGGTTATTATTACAGACCCAATGAGGCTTTATTAGCTTCATGACTTGAAACTTCATCTTCTCGATCGCCATATCTCCCTAACAGCCCCGTGGGCTTTCGTGGTTATGCGGTCTCCTCAAAACATTGGATTCACATGGATGCGAAGAAGATTGACCGGGTCAATTCATCGAACACAGTTCGAAATTACAATAGGCCAGCTTGCCCTCGATAATCGACTGGGTTATTCCAGTCTGGCAAAATATTTGTTTCAGCACCTATCAAAGTGTATTCACAAGAATTATTTCCGCGTCTTGAATGACTTGTTAAATGGAGATGTTATATTTTCGTCTATTCCAATCAACACTCACCTCCTCTGATCGCTCTTTTTGTCCTATCAATTGCAGGGTGCCGACTTGAACAAATCAGACAATAAAGGTCTTACCCCTATGTTACTGTCAGCATTGAAGGGATCGGTTCGCACGTGCATCCGATTCCTTCAACTCGGAGCCGATGTAACACGCACGGATGAGAATGGGCGTAACGTTGTCATGCTTTTGTTGTTGGGAGGCACTGGAAAGGCTCGAGAATCTCTCCCGGCACTGAAAGAAGTAAATGTTTAACTGCATACACAGAATGAATTCTATATGACTAACCATTATATGAACACTCTTTTTCAGCTGACACTGTTGAAAATCAATAGTTAGTGAAAATGGTGTTCTTTTACAAATTAAGATGAAGACGTGTCATCCGTTCCAAAAATAACATTTGATAATAGGTTGCAAAAGTACAATATCTTATGGGCGGAAAATTGCACCAATTAAATGAACTATGATTGACTGTAACAATAAAGAATTAGATCTGAGTACTCGTATTATTCGCAATGAAGGCACCATAGCTCCTGCCCGCAATACGCGCGATTGATGATCAAGAACATCGGCTGAAAAAGCACACACTCGAACTCGTTTTCTGCACTTTCGTAATGTACATAAACATGCAGATGCAATAAAACAACATGAAGTAAAATCATTAACAATCGGCACACTTTGATTGTGAGTAGTAGTTTCACCAGGTTTCTTTAGCTCTTCCTCAATGTAAGTTACGCTGACTAATGATATCAGAATGAGCTAACAGTGGGTTTATCATTATATCGTTGTGAGTCACTTACTTGATTAACGAAGTTGTGTCATGAATCGATACACGCTGTGAACATTTCAGGATTTCGAATACTTTCATAAGACATTAAAACTGACATTAATAACTCGCATAAACCCAAATTCTGTGAATCTCAATGAGTAATATGAAGCAATCGGTTGACCAGTTCTTTATGAAACAGAGTTCAACCAATTATATCAAATTCATCTAACGGACATTATTTCGGTAGAAAAGAAGGAAGATGGGAATGCGTTGAGTTACTGTACAATTTTAAATTTAGCCTGTCACATCGAAAGGGAACCAATCATATTGTATAACTCTCTTATTACACCCACTCAGAGAGGTATGAACACAACTAGGTCACATAGTGCGAAGTAGGCCACATTTGTCTAGTTTTCTAAGCTGTGATATGAAAATTTCATTGTATATTCATTGCAGTCAGTATCATTTCCAGCTAACATGGTTGTATGGTGTACATAATTAGGAAACATGAATAGGAACTCATTGTTGTGCGTGTTATCTTTTCCTATCTCTAACAAACATCACACAGACAGGAAAATTTACCGAAATGATACATCAGCAAGACAAATGGGGCTGTTCCGTCATGCACATCGCAACACGACTTGGGTTAAAAGTTGCAATTCAAATCGCTCTTAAATTTCAAGGAAGCGTCCTCAAATGTGATATGGAACGAAGCAACCCACTACACACGGCCGCTTTATTTGGCCGTTATGAAATCTGTCGTATGATTTTGGAGATCCCCGACGGGATACGAGCACTTGGTCGACGAGACCAGAATGGAAGACAGCCATTACATATTGCCGCTCAACACGGACATCATCGTGTGGTAGAGCTGATCCTTCGAAAAGATTGTCTGATGCGACCGTGAGTTTGCATGTGTGATTGTCAGCTTGTTTGTTTTCGGATGGCATAATTGGCTTACAAAGTCTTAGGCTGGTTCTGTTCCCATGGCTAAAATGAAAGGTTTAACTTTTAGCAGTGAAACTAGGATAATCTACGGAAGGACAGTATGATACACGTACGATCAGCTGGAGCAGCAAAGGCATAACAGGCATATATGATTTCTTTATTTTAATTTCGAGTCAACGCGAAATGTCTTTGAGATAAATGAGTCGGGAAAAGGCTGTATCCTGCTACACGTGAGTAATATTGCATCTAATTTTGGTGCCACAAAACCTTCACACCCTACGAAACAGGGGAATACAGTCAACGGGAATTCAATAACCGGGAGTGGAACAGGTTGAACCTCTAATCCCGAAGGGAGACTGTAGTGGAAAAACTAACTCATTCCCCTTCTGAAGCAACAAATTTATGAGTGTTTCGAATAGAGCAACGTGCAATGGCCTTTCAATGATTTGTGGTTTTGTAAAGGACCAAATTTGAACGGTTCCAGTTTGCTGTCGGGCTACATGAAATATGAGTTCCGTTGGGGTTCTTTCGGCTTCATTAACCATTTTAGATTCCTGAGTGAGTCACTTCGATTGGTGTTCTCTCCGATCGGTTAGATAAGTAATGATTACGGCACTGACGTAACTAACCTAATAACAATAGATGAACTGGTGAGTACGGCGGGATGTCTGTGTTATCGATGTTCTGTATTTGATCTGTGAGAAGGAGTGGTCATTTATGGAAGGCGATAAGTGTTTATACATGTTGTGTTCATAATCACTTGACAGACAGACGACAAGGAGGTGATTTATGCACCCCTGAGGATGGGTATTCAGCTTTCACATAACTAAATAACACATTCTCATAGTGGGGGAGGGGGAACACAATCACTGCTAGAATATAGTAGGTTCTGATTATTTACTGGTTCAATTAACCTTTAACATGAGGTATTGCAGTTTCGAGGTTGTTTAAAAGCCTTTCTAAGTGCAGAAAGGTGAAACTGCCATAGGCTTTGGTGCACAGATGAAGGTGTATATAATGGGAACATGTGGCAGAAGAAGAAGCGCATTTAATTAGGTGTTCATAAATAGGGCGATTAAAATCGGTGAGTATTTCGTGGGAAGCTTTTAGGAAGTTTTACTGTGTTGAGAAAAGACGATTTGAGTGGACTGCTGTCATTTTATATCCCTAAAAGTGGATAAGAACTTGAGGGATCTGGAGATTACTTTGAAGTCTTTGGACAACAGACCCGTAAGAAGGACAGGAGAGGCACAGATCCACTGAGGTAGAACAAATGAAATACATAGCATTTGATAAGGTGATTTAGTACAGAGTGGAATTTAAGACGGGATACATAAAAGAACAAACATCTGGCATTTGTAAAACTGTGGCATACGTGCTATGGTCAGGTAAAGCTTCTGTCCAGTGTCACGCCCGTAGTGTGTGCATTGTGTACATGTATGCGTTCGATCGAGCGCTCCTCGTGATCTGTCTGACTCTCTTTCCCTGTGCTTACGTACGATACCATGATTGGTTGTTCATGTCCATTCACAAGGTCACTGTAAATTGATTGGTTGATTTGTCCATAATGCTCGCGTAGTCAGTGTCTGGCACGGATTACATGCATGCTTGTTTACGTACGCTACGAATGCTCCGTGTTCTGATTGACAATACAACAACACTAATGTAATTCACAGAATCATAATGATTCGGTTTTTCCCTATGAAATGAGGCCAGAATACATCAGTCAGTGGAATCGGAGTACATTTGGCCTATCATAAGTGAGGAGAGAATGTCTTCACATCTGAGGGATTGATAGCCGAATTGTGTGTAGCCGGCCACTCAAAAAAATCCGTGATGCCACTCTGAATGGTGGGAAAGAAGAGTTACAGAAATATGGCGAGCTAAGAATGACATGGTGAGCATACTTAATGGGGAGGCTATAGTCTTGGGTGGGGATGGAAGACTGATAGGCTGAAAGCAAAAACGGTGGTAATATGGTACCATAAGGGACATCAAGGGCGGAAGTAACATAAGCAGAGCTGGTGCCATTGTAACCACTACCGAAAAATTCACTCCAAAGAGAAATAAGAGGAGACTCAAGACTTAAACTGCAGAGAAAAGGAGAATTTCATTCCTGCTGATACAATTAAAGGTTTCACTGTAGTTCAGGAAGCAAATCCTAACCACTTTACTCTTTTTATCGTGACGAGAGAATGCTATGTACCAGGAGGACAATGGCATCAAGGGTGGACCGTCAAGAACGACAGGAAAACTTGTAGGGGTCTGAAATATTTAGGGAAAACTACACATGTGCGATGACTAACTTTTCAAACATTTTCAAAGCTATTGAGATGAAAGTAGTGGGTGGAATTGAGAAGAATCCTTCTTAAAAGTAGGGGTGATGGTCGCCAACCCATTAATACTCCCTACTGAATGATGGGTTCGAATCTTCGATTTCTACACCAGCAGGCTTGCGTACGAATGAACCTCCATAATAATCTTCTAGCAATCGACATGTTTCTTTATAGTTTTATGTTCCAAGAAGTTGTGTGTACATAAGTAATTCAGTCGGGATAGCTCTGTCCTGAATAATTTCATTAGGCTCTCGACTTCTGTGTAATCCCTATGTTTAGGCATATTCTTTTCGGCGACGTAGTCGTTTGAAGTTATGGGATGAGAATTGATCGGAGTGAATGTGATGAGTCTCGATGGATTTGTAAAGGTTGGAACAAAATGAAAATAAGTGGTAGGATGATCCCAAGATACAGAAATATCGGAGTGTGGGAAAATAACAAAGTCAGTTTGGATAATCATTTCATTTAACATCATTATGTTCCTCGAAAATGCCTGCCTTTTGGAAGCTTCGCGATCGCGGCATTACATGAAGTGTCGATGGTTTGTGTGGCTATAAATCTTAGGCAAACCCTAGATGATATCGTAATCGGCTGAGCCAACAGGGGGACGACACGAGGTGGAGAAATATTTACACTATTGACATGGAAAATATCTAGGAAGGCATCCATTCTAGTTGAAACATTGACACTGTTTACAAGACCGAAATGATAAAAGGAACACGGTCAAAACGAGTGAAATCACCAGAAACTATGCACAAAGAAATGTCTGTGTAGTCTACTAGAATTTGTAAAAATGGAATCAACAAATGCCTGATGGCCATCGACAGAACAATTGGATGAAATATAAACATTTACAAGCACAAGAGAGCGAAAACCACTCAAAATGTTTAGGCTTGCTTTTAATAACAGGGAAACTAGTCTATACTGTTGAAAACATAAACACGAGCATGCAATTTTGGTAACAACGATTGCTGATATGTGTGATAACCCCACCACCTCGCTTCCGTTGTGCGACAGAACGATCCAGACGATACCCGGTGAAAACACTTGGCTCAACCATTTCATCGGCAATGTCACTGAGAAGCCACGTTTCTTGTAGTAGGACTACACTCAGCTAATATTAGTCATTAGACCCAATAAAGTCCACGTGTTGATGATTGATAGACTTGGACAATGTTTTTGAGATGATTCAAAGTTTAAAGGTCTGACAATACCGAAAAGTTACTCAGTACGAAAAGAATGTTGTTGCTAATCTTCACGGGACGGTTGACGTTGTGTATGGGTCTTTCACGAAGGCAAGCTCTGTATTTTCTAGGATCGCCTCTGGAAATCCTGAGAAGTCTTTACCATTTATTCTTTACCGTATTTTCGAAAGGAAACAAGCAGCCAGATGCAGTTCCCCCAATGAAGGATTTCAGCAATTCATTAGAATATGTTATCATGGGTGGCACTAATCCGATTGTACAACAGTTATTTACAGTCATGGCCAACAAGCAGAACAGTAAATCGGAGAAATTGTAGGTGGTTATGTGATAAATGTTGAAGGTGGTGGAACAGCGCGGTTACATTTAAAGGCCCCGCAGTAGAACACGTAATTTTTGTACTTCATTTATTTGTATCGATGTAAATGTAACCAGACCGCAGCTGGTGAGCAAGCCGCGAGCTAGTACTTAAGTAAGCAAGTGAATGAGCAAGCAGATGGAAGAGCTAAGCTGCGTATGCTCATAAACGTTGCCAAGTTATATCAGTCGATACATAGGAAGTTCTGTCAATCAATACTGTCCGCCCTTAAGCATGACAAAAGATCAATACCAAACGGGAATGTGTCCATTTGCGAGAAAAATGCTGAATAATTGTCCGCGCAGTATGAGTGACTCTACTAGAAAAAAAAAGTGAACAATCATGCCTTCGAAACAAATGGCTCGACGTTTGCTCATTGTCTTAGCAGACACTTTCCCTTTGTTTATCTATGCTAACCTCTAAGGGTATTTTTAATTTTTTACGTACAATATTCTTTCCAGTTAGTTTTTCCCTCAAGTTAGAGGACGGCAAAAACTGGTTTTCATGAGTGCTGTCATTTATTGTGTGCCTGCAGATGTCGCAAAGGAAACACACCACTGCACTATGCTGCAATGAACGGGGATGTAAAAACTTGTTCCATCCTTCTGACCACAGACCAGAGACTTCTAAATGAGAAAAATGGGCTCGGGGTGAGTAACCCTTATTTCACATTATCCCTGGTCTTACGAGATTGGCTGAAGTGAAGCTGAGTGGTGGGATAAATTGGCCGGTTTTTCGATTCCTCTTCGTCCATGAACAATAAAACTGTTCACCTTTTCAGATGACTGCGCTTCACATCGCCGCGATGCACAAGAATGGTGAAGTCGCCGAATATCTTCTCACGGCTGGAGCCAAAATTCTACCTGATAACAGAGGTATCTACTTCACTACACACCTGTTCAATGAGGATAATTATCTGGCAGCCAAAGTGGTTACCGAGCACAAACGGTGAGATGAAATATGAGTGTTGTGAACATGTTTGCATTCAACAATTTGTCATTAGAACATTTTGGTTTAGATCCACTGGTTAGTAATTGAAGAAATTGTGTATGAATTACTTTGTCATGCAACAGCAGAGCCCGTCATTGACAAGCCTCAAAAGTATTGTACAGCCTGCATCCTTATTAGGAATCAGGAGCAGCAGTAGTTGTTCAAGTTCAAACCATCCTAATCCCTGATTGGATAACGACTTAGAATATACTTTGGAAGGCATTCGAATTCAATAATTCGTAATTGCTAAAAATTACACAAAAATATGTGAGCTAAGAATGGATGGAAAGGACGAGGGAAATTTTCTAGTTTACGGATGAGGTGAAACGGTATATCGATGCGTTAAAGGGAATGAGATCTTCTGCCTTTCCCGATCATCTTTTTCGAATCGAATGGGAATTAATTCAACAGGATTTTCAATCCCACTCTTTTGCACAACACGCACACATCATATGTGTGTAATGGATGCTGAAAATGGTCGTTGTTCCTTGTTCGCCTTTGCCTTTAATCAGATGGCCAGAAATTATGGAAATGTTGCGAAATACAAATCAATGTCCGTTGGAGCGTCTCGTATGCTACATGCCTTCTTTAACCACTGTAAGTTTCATCTGAAATGATCTACTCCACACTATCCAAAAGTCACTTATTCTTGTATTTCTATTTAGTCTGAACATTTGTGAAGCCATCAAGTACATTTGCATTATAGGCAGATAGGTTCACCGAGGTCTCGTAGAAGATAAACATGGTACTACGTTTGCAAGACAGGAAGTTGGAGTAACCTAAATATCGCATGTTTTGCGTAGTGTTCCGTTTGAAGAACGAAAATATTAGTAGGTGTGGTAATGAGGAGCACAGTTTAGTCTAATGAAAAATATAACGAAAAATATCTTGAACAATTAAAGCAAGACATGGTTTCCTTCGGGTGACCTAACCACAATTTTCCAGAGAGATCTATTTGAATGCAATTTTGGACAGATAGTACCATTGTATTTAGCCGCTCTGTATTGCGCTGAATCAACTTATTCCGCCAACTTGACATATGATTTTCAGAGTCCCTTCTGATCAGTTGTATCCATTAGAATTTTAATTTCAGTTTCTCGTGAAAATCCCTCATGTCTCCTGTCCCTCGTCTTTTGTTACTATATCTGACCTATGTAGATGTGCATGATTTTTATATGTAGGGAAGCACCCGGGACGAGTTGCAATTACCACTGTGTCTTCTGATGTAACCGCCTGAGATATCACCAGCTGTATCTGTCTTATTTACCGGATTATCTGTATCCAAGTCTCCCGAATAAAACTAGTGCAGAGACTGCGAAATGAAAGTACTTTATTAATTCGTAAAATTCATCATTCGTACGAAAAGCCTGGATTTTGGATAATGGAAAAGCTATTTGCATTTCACTCATCAACTATCTAGACTGAGAACCGGAATCGAACTGGTGACCTTCTTCTTACCGAGCAGTGGCTCTACCAGCTGAATAACTGCGGTACAGCCAATCTAGTTAGACTAATGCAACTGGTTATCCAATGATGATAGATTCAAGCGATTATTCATTGTGCCATGTTCAGCCGTGTGCCTTTCGTTGTTTTGCGAATTTACCAACAAGGGTGTTTCATTGAATTAAACCAGGAAGACTGATGTGTTTCATTGGAATGGCGGCTGCACACCATTGGATATTCATTTACTTTTTCGCATCCAATTGGTCGTACCACAATAGATCAACTGGTAGAGAAACTACCAAGTAAGCGAAAGGGTTCCTGGTCGATTTGGGCTCACGAAACGGACTTCTGAATTCAAAATACTTTTGCAATGCTCTGGACACAGAGTTCATACTATACTTTCAATGGGACAGTAGATGAGTTGTGTCGGATGAGTGTCGAATCAAACACACTTTTTGCCTAAAGCGCTGTTTGATGCTCCATTAGAAAGCTTTGACTTACCGAATATTGGTAGTTTAGGTATCACACTGTTCACTATTAGTTTGAAAGAATGAATCAGCTGGAGTTTGAATTTTTGCATTCACGTGCTGAATGGTCGAGGATTTGGTGGGTTTGTTAAATGGCAGTAAACTGCATATGAAATATTGTTTAGAGAAAACTGTGGTCCACTGGTGATTGTGTTCTACTGCGAAATTCGTACGGCCATTCATTGTGAAAGTAACATCAAACATGAAAAGAAGCATATTTTTACCTCTAACCTCTTCCACTACAATGCGGTACTGTTTGGAAATATAAAATTTGATCCACGTGTGGTTTTCTTGTTTGTGTTCCGTACTGAAAACTGAGAAGCTAAAACAGTTATGAGGGATCAACATAGTTTATATTTTACCTAATTCTGAGGACCGCACGCTTCACATATTTGGAGTTAACAAGAATAAGTAAGGTATTTACAAGGGACGATACGAATGAACGTAATCTCACTTGGTCAGCGTGCGACCGACCACCTAGGTGATGGAATACATTTTTCCAACACTTCCAAGTAGCGTTGTGATGAGAAAATAGTGGTGTTTACCACAGCACACAATTCAAAATGGCAAAATTTGTGCAGTCGTCTCACTAATCTGTTTTATCATGAGCGATTCTGCCATGATCGATTCACATGCGACTTGTGTAAACCGTGTCCTTTCTCATCATGTGCGTTTGTGAGTTGTATACTTATTTTTCTACACATAATTCGTGCCTGTATGTCCTAATGGTCCCCAATAACTTGCAGGGAAAATAAGTCTTATGATTCGGTTCATCTTTCTAACTGCAGAGGTTTTAATGCGAACCGTTTGATCCTTGGTATCCTCCGTTTTCTTGATGGTGGTCTATCGCTGAAGTGGCCATGAATTCTTCTGCCCATGGCTCCAGGTTGATGGATGCAATCTACTTCTTAACCGCCTCTTTCTGTGGTCGTATCAGTCCGCTGGTAAACAGGATCTGGCCCAGAGCTTGTTACTGAATTGCTTCCTCTAACAAACTTGGATCATCATCAGTGTTTGAGAGTGTTAGGGTGTTACAACAAATAATATTCACACATGGAAATACTCAAACGCTAGATTCATGTATATTATTTCATCAGTTTACCATAAATACAATATCCTGCAGGTTATTGTTCAACATTTTATCTAATCGAAGCTCTCAAGATTTCATCAAGATCCAACAGGATGCATTATCGAGCTCACCTGTGTTTCTATCAGGCTCAATTTAGCTCCCTGGGGAAGTACGTATTTGACTCATGTACACCAAAAAACTATTCCAGTTCATCCGTTTCCAATCGGAGAGGTTGTATCTTAGTGAGCAACCGGACTCACCATTCCAGTATCCACAGCTAATTCGTATTCCCGGATTTCCTTCTCGGCTTCACAGTTGGTTATGGATCAGTTCGTCACGGAATGTGGGACACGAAACACCGGAGACCACGGGGTAGGTTGTTTATCCACTATTCTCCTAAGTAACCAATTCTGTAAACAAGATTTCCATCCAGTCTGAATGACTTGGATGATATTACAGTAAATCACTGCCAGAATAAAATAACTACTTTGAAATATTTCACGAACCAAGCCTGCCATGTGAATTAAAACGCCAGGAGAACGTAAACATACATGCCCGAGTGAATATTTGACTAATTCTTATTTAGTACGATTCTCAAGGGACAACAATCATTGCTGACATGAAAGTTTGCCGTGCAAGAAAACGCAAACATGAGTACGAAGGGGTTCAAATGAGGACTTTGATTGTTCAATTGATATCATGGTTGTGTAACTAATGTCTGACGGGCGTTATTATGTACCAAGCAATTGCAACTTCTAGCATAAACGTAAATTATCCCGATTAATATGGTGTTCACTTTTCATCTGGCGATCGATAGATTAGAGGTCTCACATGTACCCTGGACGAGATTACAATCGACCTCAGACTATCCTGCAGATGAACGAATTAGGAGTCGAAAACACTCATTTATTTTGTGTCTGTACGGTAACGTGGTTGCTTCTTCACCAAAGAATGCGGTCAATTTGCGAGTCTTTCCTGTGTGAACAAAACAAGACAGTCACCTAGATTGATAGGTAAAAGCCTGCAAAACCAATTTGTTGTTTGTCTTAACATTGGGTTGTAGCTGGTCAATAAACGAGGGTAAAACACAATGCTATTCGTAGTGGGCATTACCACAGCAATGTTTTTATTTGTTACCACTAACATCTGAAATGTGTCAAAAAAATTTCGTGATATCAATGCTAATGCAGAGAGTAAAATTATCATTTTCTAATATAATTGGTATGCCAATTTGACACCAGTTAACTATAAAATACGTTTATCGAATTGTTCGAATAGGTAATTATTCAGTTACCTCGTTGGTTAGTTGGTTAGCTCGGTAGTCGTTTATTCAGTTTGATTGGTTGACTAGTTAGGTCTCAATTAACGCCTGATTCACTCGATGCTCAACCGCATTGCAAGGTATCCTATGCACTTAGTTCAGGCGATCATTCCGCTTTCATCCACTGTCCTACTTTCAGACCCGATTTGATTTTACCATGTTCCAGCCTTCGTCAGGCGATCAAACCCGGAAAACAACTTCAGCTTTCCATTTAATGAAGGTGAGTTCAATAGTAATGGGGCTTGCACATAACTTGCTTGAGACGGAAAGATGAATGAAGATGCTGACATAAAATCTATCACAATATCCACACATCAGATGACTTCGTGTGTAACGGACGATGTACAATAAGAACTGTTTTTCAATCCAGAAAGTTGTAAAAGGACCCATGGAGAAACCAAGAAATGAATGTTCAATTTGTTTTTGTGTTAAATACTTTTGTTTGAACAAACTGATAAAATGCACCATATATCCAAACAAAAACATCACAGCAAACACCAATGGTTGTGTGGTGAACTCGTAACATAACTTGACACTTCCCGTTCATTTCACAAATATCACACAGGTATTATTACTGAGCTCATTTTTGCACTAAACTTTCATGGAATGAGTGATATACAAGTGAGGCAAATATCTTCGCATTTATTGCAAACAATATGGAAATGTTTATGGAATGTTTGTTGAAGGCAGTCGGTGGTTAGGACAAGGCCAGTGATAAATCCTGTTTTGCTAGCCGCATGTAATCGTTAAGGCGAATAATTTTGTTCACACACTGAGTTAGTCAAGTGGATCAAGTGTCTATCACCTCAAAATGGACAAACACTTGAGTTCCAGATTCACTGGTCACTGTTGTGGTAGACGGCAGTTTGTCTCTTCAGCTGACCTTTGTTTCAAGCCTTCGACATTAGGAATTTCAGAGTGAAGCTGTTGTGAGTTCACAAAGGACAAAAGAATTTGACTGTGATGTATTCGCACTTTGTGTCTTCGAAACCGGATTAAATAGCAAATCATACCAGCAAAGCGTAAGTCTTTCCGCTCATGGACTCGTGATCAATGTTTGCCTCTATAACTCTGGACTACCAAGTGTTAACTATAGATCCTGAGAATAGCCAAGGGGATGGGCTACACCTAAGGGTGCGACATTCGACAGACTTGAGTGAATACAATATAACTCAATCATCGAAGTGTCTGGCGAGCAAAGGTTCTTTCGGCAAAACGGCCGGCGACCAAATGTCCAGGCATGCATAATTATTATTATTGTTTCATCAAATTCTCGTTGTAAATGGTTGTAATAATCCACACATATTTTCATGAGAATATTCGTGGTATGACTCCCACCGAGGACTTATAAACGGAAACTGTTCGCAAGAAAGATATTCATAAATGTTCCAAAATTTAAATTACAGATTATGTTAAACGAAAAACACAGTGATCTTTTGGTTCATCCACTTTGTACCGCTTATCTGACTATGAAATGGTATGTTGATTTCTTTGAAATGTATTATCTTCTTTCGTATAAGCTAATTCCAATTTGAGGTCACTCACAGCGTACTTGCGAAGTAAGGCTGTTTTAATTTGGTACTCGCATTCTGCTAATCCGAGTTAGCATATGTGTATTACTTTTTGGCTAGCTGTTTTTGGACTACATCTCTCACGTACAAACCAGGTCACCGTGAGTTATTTGGCATGTTTGTGGGTAAAGTAATCTGTCAGTTTTGAGCAGGAACTAAATCAATTTTTCTCAGAATCGAATAGCACCCTCCTGTTCCGATAACTGGAATACAACAGAAAATGAGATATCGTATTCAGAACATTGAAGGTGATTCTCTCTGTCACATTTGCATGGAATACACTACGAAAGAAAATCAAAAGTGTTTTCATTGCATTCGGAAGGCAATAGGTCACTCAGTTGAAGAACATCAAGGAAGTTGGTTTATTCCTTTTTATTCCTATTTTCGTTTTCACAAGAATTACTTCGTCATGTGTATTTTTGGCTAAACAGCTAGAATTTCGCAAAGGGAACTTCATTGGTTTTCTTCGGTACCCATTATATAAATAGATGTTGCAACGCGCATGGAACAGACCTCTTGAGAGGAAGGAAATGGAAATCTGGTGTGTAGGATATAAGTGACATCTTGTGTATTTACGCTTATATGAAATAGTAATGCTTCCACGATGAAACCGATGTCTAGCAGTGATAATGTGACATATTTGTTCGTCAGTTATGTCCAGATTGGTTCGATTGTGCTCTGTTTCATGGCAAACACAGGTGCGGCATTATGGGTAAACAAAACTGTTAAACATCTCTCCAAGATTTTCAGCAATTCTCGATCAAAATGATGGATATCATAGGACAAGTTAACATCTTTCTAATCACCTAATATGATTACAAGCATACACAAACACGCACACACACATGTGCACAGACAGATCTGGATGATCATCCCCTTTGTTGGTTTGAGTCATATTTAATGTTATGTATTGGTATGGGTACGAATAACTGAAAACGAGCTTGTTCACTACGCTGTTTTGTTCTCATTGTGTTCTGTGGGATTTTTCGTACATAATATGACTACGATCACAAGATGTTTGAGTTCCCGTAGACTGAATTAGACTCTGGGCATCCGTAATCATGTCACTATTAACTACATCAATTCTCTGTCGCACGATAATCTGAGTACATGCGTGCTTATTTACATAATCAGGGAAACTTATGGACGCTGGGTACAATTACTCGAGATGGTCTATTACGCAATGCTCTGCCTCATCATTACTCGGTTTGCGTTGAGTCAAATGCCCCTCACAGTGAACTACAATGAACCACAAATACAAAACTGTATGGAAAAGGTAAGTTCGAAAGTGCGTGCACAAATACAACTTCCGACGTGTAAGTGTGATGCACTGGCAGTATTCCACACACACATACACACACACATGCACACAAGCACACTCACACACACGAACAATCGGTGTCAACATTGTTTTCGAAACAGAAAAAGATTTAGCTCTATTCTTCCTCTACAAATAGCGTCTCATAAAGCGTTTATTTGTATTCTGAATTTCATCTTTTTATATGAGAAAACTTCAAGTTGAATGTTTTCATTATCAGGATGGGAATCGATCAACAAAATTGTGAAAGTGATTATTTAATTGGTTTGTGGTCATGCTCGATACTATTCCGTTCCAGTTTAATCGTGTAACAAATTATGTTGTTATTTCATGTATGGTAAGCATGTGGATGCAACCCCTAGGCCATGGCCCATGGGTGGGCAAAAAGACAGGTCAATGATGTAAACAAGCTATTGACAAGAGTTGAATACATGCGCAAGCGTGCACTCGACTCAGGCCAGGGAATGTTATTCGTTACGTGGCGAGATCGACTGTCGATACTGCTTGGGCCGAACTCCGCATCGTGTTTATATATATATATATATATATATATATATATATATATATATATATATATATATATATATATATATATAATGTGTGTGTGTGTGTGTTGCAGTAGACGTGTTTCTATGTGCATGCGACTGGGTTAATTGGACAAACCAATAGCACAATTTAGGATGTATAAATGCATTAGGGAATACAGATTACGAACAGGTGATGATCAGTTTCCATAAAGTAAACCATACTGTTCATCACGGATGCTATTTGGCACATGTATCATCTTCATCCTCAACATTATTATTATTATTATCATCACCATCATCATCATCATCGTCATCATCATCAGCAGCAGCAGCAGCAGCATCGTCATCATCATCAGCATCAGCATCAGCATCATCATCATCGCAGAATCCTGCACTTCCATGTATCCAACAGTGTCAAATAGGATAAAGGGTGATTAGAAACCGCGAATGCGTGTACGAGCCAGTTGGGGATTGTAATATAAGTGGGAAATCATTTTCATGTGAATGAGCGTCAATGATCTAAGTAGCAGATAGAAAGTGAAATACAATCAAAATTGAAACTGTAAAAGTCAGAATAATGATCAATACTTTGCGACAAGCAAAACGTAAGCATCCTCAGTACACAAAACAGGTTTGGGCTAAGAATAATGCTACTTGATTGCCATGGGGATCCAACATGTCTCCTCCGAATAAGGTTAGTTATATTCTTTAGTATGTGATCTGGACTGGTTCGCATTATCTTCAAAACTTGGCTCGTCTGATACCTTAGAGTGATATATTTAACAGAAGTCGCTCCGGTAAATTTCCTTATTCCTCCGAACGTGAACTTCCAGTGTCTTTTCGTCACTTGCTTCCTGGATCCTGTTGATTGACTCTTTTGCCCACTGTTCCCTAGGAGCATTTTGATTACCCATTTGAACTACTTTCCCGGATTTTAAATGTCCTCTTCACCCTAATCAACAATAGACTGTCTGCAACGTGGGTATATATTCGCTTTTCCAGGGAATCCAAAACTCCTCGTCAACGTTAGACGGCTCCCATCAGAATGAATTATTTTAGGATTTCGGCTGAGCAACAGAATATGGTTCAGTGTCAGAGCGGCGTAATCTTTCGAGCCAGATGTTAAACTCACTGAGAACCTGTCAATCATAGTCTTTTCAACTTCAGTAAATGTAATTAATAACTCCTCGTCGTTTACTAGGCTTTCCGTTATAATTCAACGCATAATTCGCTGAACACTCCGGATCAACCACTTCCACACACCCCTTGGCGGCCGGTCGTGGGTACCTGAAACTCCCGCTTTCACCCTACGCTAAACAGTGTTCTCCAGATTCTTTCTTGATTCCATACCGATAGATATCTTTCGGTTTCGCACTTTGCTCCTTCGGGCCGCCGTCATCTCGAGAGCGAACCGGACTTCCTCCACGAGCGGCAAACCTGGCAATTGTACACAGAAATGACTCTGTCCTAAAGCTCTGAGCAACCTTAGAGATCAGAAGAACAATTTTGGCAATGAAAACAACTTTCCAAAATCGACTTTACTCCAGCGTGGCCATGCAATTTCCAGTATCCTCATTGTAGCCAGGACCTGATTTGTTTCGAAATAGCCATTGATTTCATGATAAAAGTTAACCAATGGGTTAGTCATAAATGATTTCGGAAAATAATAACGGGATGCTTCACCCCGAAAGGCTCCACTTCCCACCTAAGTCGACTCACATTACTCTTTCGGAAATGAATGGGCTGAGATTAGAGAACAGACCTTTAGTATCATCCTTGATTCTCACTCCTGAACCCCTTTTAACATTTTCGTTTCCGTAGCGAAAGCCGCGGTGTGCGTCAGTCTTAAAACAGTCGTACACGAGTCGTTGATTTCTCGAATGGGAGGGGTTTTCTCATGTCCCCGATGCAATCTGAGAAACGTTTCAGTCAAACTACTGCTCTCAGGAGGCAAACTTAAAATCCGTGATGTCCAAATCTGTCGGAAGAATGAAAATGAGCCTGGACAATTGCAGACATGAAGATTCTGGGTGATTCTCAATCTGATCACTTCATCGTACTGTTGCTCTGGCTTTCTTATCATTATTTAAAAGTTCCGGCCCCCAAAATGCGTGCTATCCTGTTGGCCTTTGACCGTTAGCCTACATGAGACGTATTCCACAGGATTGTTTCCGGAGTCGACGTAGCACTATTCACTACTTCTGGCAGGTCTCGAATGGCAGATATTCGGTTCGTCACGAAGGCCTGGAAGCGAGACATTTATTACAAAGCGTTTGCAGAACGATCTTTGAATCAATCGAGTACACCATTCGGTTCATGGGTACAGCCAAATCTTTTTAATCTGTAGAAGCCAGGCCTAGCTGATATTACATTGTCAGTAAGTTCAGCACGTGGTATGGCAATGGTCTTTAGCGGCGCCACACGGGATTTGTCACACATAAGAATACAGCCAAACTGTACATCACCTCATCTGCACTGTAGGTAGACTGCTGCGCCATGAGCTGATTGACAGACAACGGAGAAGCAATGAATTTCTAATATATTGTCCGAATCTGAATCGTCTGTGGAAAATCTAGGTACCTGGAACATTCTGAATTGCTTCGTCTGACTTACCCATATCTGCCACATGCGAAAATGATCTTTTACTGAAAGATCATTCCAATTACTCTTGGTTCTGAAAATTTCCTAGAGTACTAATCAACTGAGTACAATTTCGAGATCAATAAGTTCGAGAGGGTAATAAATCGAGGCAGTTTAGTACAGGATTGAACGTTTGGTCAGAAAAGTCGGTTCTCGTCTCGCATCGAAGTTGCGCAGAACGGATGTATCGTCATCCGAAACAACACTGGTGGCCTGTCACTCTCCAAATTGCTTCTCCACAGTGATCGAAGACAGTCTCCATCTTCCTCCGGAATTTTGACTTGATGAAATATGAACTCGGTGTTGGCTGTACTGACGAACGTGCACTTGTGTAAACGAAGCAGCACTCCCATAGGACTAGTAATCATATCCACATCAGTGAGTAGCTGTGAGTTTAGAGACGCTGAGCAGGCTTGACATGTGTAATACAATACTACACATACCTTACCTGGCCTATGTGGACACACTACCGGATGATGGGGTAAGTAACGAACTGACACGTTGTTGGCCACAACGAACGGCCTTTAAGCACTTTTGACGTAACCCTTGTCTAGATAGTTGGAGAAAACCGAAGCACACATCTTTTCGTAATATATTCTACTCAGACTGAATTCGATGCAACGCATTTCGACCGTAGTGTGGAAAATCTCTCCCTCCTAGGTAGGGATAGTTTATAATGATCAATTATCTTTAGTATTAGCAGCCTAGCAGTCTCAACTGTGCGATAACCTTCGTCTGATAAGTCTATCTCACTTGAAAATATTTCTTTAAACTCGAATGAGAACGAGGACTCAACTTTCGACTGGAGTTCGTTGTCACTCGACTAGGCGATCTGGTAGTAGCTTATATCATGTGACTCAATGGAACCCAAAGGAACAAGAACAACCTAGCCGAACAAAGTCAGAGTAGCATAAGGTCCTGTGGACTTCCCGTGTGGTTCTCTAGAACCCAATGTGTAGAAGGTACATCAATACTGCTTAACTTAAATATTAGCTGGTTGTCCGTGTCGTCTAAACATAGTCCGACTAAGTACCTCAGTCAGAAAGCTGCTTAACATCCAGTGTCAACCGAATGGTGGACGGAACTGATCGACAGCTCAGGACTGCACGAAGGTCTCTTAAGATCCCGATGCCATTGTACAGACACAAAACTTAACTCCACTGGCAGCTAGAATTTAGAGGCTGTACGAAATAGAAACATCGTATTTTATTTGAAATGGTTTTCAGTCCTAATCTCTCTGTGGCATCTTGCAGGTTTTTAATAGAGTCCGAGCCGTTGTTCAGCGAGGTGTGTACGACATATTAGGTTTTGATACCACGGAGCCTTACTTTCACGACAGCTAATTACTATTCATAATTATTGTTTGTCCTTCTCCTTCTCTGTTTAGTTACTCATGAGTAGTGAGTACACACATCGTGAACCTCGGACATTCGTAATATATTTTCTTTCTCCTTCTAAGGGAGCATATTGGTATATACTCGCATTTTTACGGAGCCTATTAAATGAGCAGTTCACATATTTATTCATAACTTCATTTGCCCAAAGGCTTGCATTTGTACTACTAGATAGTCTTTCTGTGTCTCAAATGTACAGCCGTGCTGAGGCTTAAGCTCTCAACATTAACGTTTCTCTCACAGCACTCCACCACCGACCACTACACACCAACGACATTAACAGATCTAGTACCGCATTCGTCCACTCATGTTGTCACGTGCTTCTGTATATCCAACAGACTCAGCTTATTTGTACTCATTTGTTAATAACTCTCTTTCGTATCGTAACCACAGTCTAATTCACACCTTTGTAAGTGATTTAGTGATTTGTGGTGGTAAAAGCCATTTGATTTGCTGATTGTACCGCGACCAAACTGTACTACAGTCCCGTTCAGCTGCTTACTAAGTGAACAGTTTTCTTTTCTGCGCTATCCCGAACTTCCAAAAGTTTCCGCCCTTTGTTCTTGGTTTCTTACATGACTGTAAGTCTTTTTTGCTGTATATTTATGCTTATTGTACTGTTTAGAACCACGAATTATTGGCAAACACGGTCATTCAATTGAAATTGTTCTACTGCCCGTAACCGTGTTCTGCACATATCGTGCGTAGAGCTATTGAGACTAAGTTCCTGCTAGATTGACAGTCCTAGAAATCGGGATAGTCGAAACAACGACCACTAACGAAACAGAACCACTGGTCACGACTAAATTGTAGCTTACATTCGATCTGACTATGTCGTCTACTCTGACCGGTTTAGTAAGATTTTCAGCCACTACATGCAGCAGGGGACGTTGCAAAGTTCGGCAACAGTCTACGCCAAAAAACTTACGTGAATGGTTTTGGCTAACAGTGAGTCTTGGGTTCAACCAAAGCTCACACAAAGCGAAAGTGTGAACATAACTTTGGCGAGCCAACATTTCCATTTTGATGTACTTGAAGCATCGATCTAGGTAATGGTATGGGCCGTAGCACGGACAAGTGGGCTGAACTGAATCGTTGGTCACTCGTGACAGTTTAAGTCAGTGAACAGGCTGTGTCTCCTCTGCCTGGGTTGTCACTGTGCATAAATTTAACTTACATTGGTAGCTGTCAGAACGGACAGGCCTATCTAGAGATTGCTTGCTTAGACTTGAGCCGCGTCGGCCTGGTCTTGAACAAACAGCGTTCACTCGGAAAGTTTTGCTGCCCGTCATTGGAAATAAATTTCACGCCCGGTCATTATGGTGGTCCCGGCCGTCGGCTGAATAAAGCACCCGAAGTGCTTCCGATGATAGTTCCTCATTATTCTCCATGCATTCACTCACTCCTGTTAATGCTATTCACAGAAGTTATAAACCACATTCTCCTTACCACTAGGCCTTGGATTTTTCTACAACTTTTGATCATTTTCAGATCTATGGGGACGTGTATCATTCACCCTTCACAACTGCTACTTTGGCTTTTGCGACAGTCACTTGCAATGCTCACGTTGTTGGAAGTTTGATCAGAATATCAAATGAAGTAAGTATTTTGTGAGATGTAGTCCGCTCTGATCCTGTAATTTTCTCTTGCCAGATTTTCGCCACTCCAAATTACGGGGAGGATAACTTGCTAAGGCATTTCGATGAAACATTTGTAGATAATTAATGATACTCACCAATTTTCAGCAAATCCTGAAGAAATTCGTAAAACGGGTTCCCCATCAGTTAGAGACCATTAAAACGGATCGCTGGAGAATGAAATGATTCGTAACTTTTGAAGTCTGCACTAGTTGGGGGCGCTGTCTAGTTCGATTTCGCAATGATATATTTGACGTGATACTTGAAAACGGTAAACCTTCTTAAGTTCGACAAACGACAGACTTTGTATTACACGAAATATTGGTTTTGGAAATCTGCTAGCAAAAGAAACTGTGAGGGCAGTAGTAGATATGAACAAAGAAGCCCTGAATTGTTGGTTAGACGCTCAACTCCTCCTCGTCCAGAATCAAGAACAAGGTTGAAATCAGCGAAGCAGACAGATGATTTGGTGAGCAGACAGTGAGTCATTTCTTACTCGGAATGGAAGACAAGATTATGGCTAGCGAAGCCGGATGATGGACCAATCAATGACCAACAGTTGCCTGGACCGACTGGAGCTGAACCAACCAGTCGGGTTGCAACCAGACCAGCCAGTCAGAAGAGTCGCTCATCAATAACAATGAAGTCAATATGTTTGCATTCAAGGACTTGGTTATGGTCACCACATATCTCATATAAGTGAACTATTTTGTTCCAATCGACCGAGATGGTTCAAAGGCAGAAAAGTCTTCATAGCGGAGTTAGTGGGATGGATCAAAACAGAAACTGCTAAATATTGAACACTAATGATTGGTAATGTGTGAACCACGCACCGTAGAATAAGAATTGCAAACAATAAAAGAGATACAGTTGATCGTTTCTCTATATGGGCGATCGGTGGCAATCGGATAGTGTAGACCGATATCCGACCACATCGGAGGTTAAAGGATTGAATTCTGCCGCTAAAGGTTTCTTTGGTATTGGGCAATAATTCACAGAAGCCGAACCTGTTAGGATATTCTTTGATTCCCTTCCCCTCCATTTGTCGGGTTAAAGTTGCCCGTTAAATTGCTGACTTGTTTTGTATTGCACAATTTTGTAAAGAATATCGATTTTCACTTGGATCTTACTTACTGAGATCGATCTCTCTCGGGGGCAACTTACTGCTTATGCAAACTTATCGATTCCTGTCAAATAATGAACATGTTCATATTGCTTCCTAATCTCAGCAATCAAGAATACTCCAATAGCAATTTATTAATCTCCAACCACTTTCAAAGATCATTTCATGATCAAGTTGTTTTTAACTCATTATTTTCGATTGAAATTTAATGTTTGTTCACTGCAAGCTCAGTCAATAAACTCATATTGCTGTATCATGTTTGCTACTAAGTCACTCTCGTAACTCTGTATGATAATGAAGACGAATTTTGTTAACCCCATTCGAAATTCCTATTCACAGCGTTGGCAATATTTTACCAGATGGATCAACTGTTGGTTGCTTCTGTTCAATGTGCTCTTCATTGTCAATTGTGTCCTCAACTTGACCGGTCAACATAGCCCTGCTTGCGGTGCACTGACTGTGTTTGTGATGTTCATGTCCTGGATGAATATTTTACTCCAAATGCTCCAGTACGTTACTTGGTAACACTTTATATTTATTCCCAGATATTATCTGCCACATCAAAGTAAGTGGGAGATGTAGTAAAGCTCATGTTCTATTCGTTATTTCCAACGAACGGTCTACATACAGGATCTCCATTTGTGGCTCCTATCGTATGAACTTGTTAGTGTGAACCGGAACACATCGGCTCGACGTGGGAAAGAACTGTGTCAATGATTAGACAAGTTAAAAATGGAACAACCAATCATTGTCGGGTTTTACCGCGAGTTACCAACGAAATCCCCGCCATCGAATGAACAGAGAAGGCTCGACTAAGTGGACAGATGCGAAAGTGCATTCTATATTTCGAGAAATATATGGAATGCAAACGAAAGCAGCGATGAAGCAGAAAGCAAACGGCAAGCGTGTACAGTGGGTGACAACTCGAAAGTGAAAGTGATTCAAAAACGAGGTGAACGGAAACCTCGGAAACGTCAGTTCAGTTAAACATACGCAACCGAGCAAAACGGTGAGGTCGGATCCAAGCGTCAGAAAAGATCGTGTGGAAAATAAATCCAAAACGATGTCCAGAAAACGGTCATTTTATGGGCAGGATCGAGGTCACTACAGGCTAACATGGACGTGGGCTGCTTATGCCTGTTCAGCTGGTAGATATAAAGCAACACGCGCTGGAGAGGCGAATCATTTGGATGGCTTGCTTGACGTGTTCACGGACACTTTTGTCTTTGTTTCATATAGGTTTTGCTGACTCCTTAGCGAACGATGTCCAGACGATCTTGGTTCGTTTCTTGATTGTCCAAACATTATTCTTCCCCATTTTATTTTCTAACTTTCATGTTTTTCTACTCCACTCTATTTCCTTTTACAGCTATCGCTCGATCGGTTTATTTGTTGTCATGTTTATCCAAGTCAGTCAAACGATAATGAAAATGGCACCAATATTTTGCAGTTTGTTTGTCGCTTTTGCGATCACCTTTCACAAACTGCTCATACTACCAGAGGGAAGTGTAAGTCACTGGTGAATATAGTAGTCGTAATCATAATCACAATCATGATCTAAATCATAATCATACTCATAATCATAACATGTGAGTACAGTGACCAGCTTGGCCACTATTTAATTCCTTTCAGTAAATAAACTACGTTAATTGTTTTTCTATCGTTTCGTGGTCATGGTGCAACAAAAATCAAATCTGTCACACACACACACACCGGTACCAATCAAGGTCATTCCGTGACGGTATTTAAGTGCGCAGTTATCTGGCTCAATTTCAGTGTGTGAGTCACGTGGACAACTGACCAGCTTGTCGGCGAATGATTCCTCGCTTTCTCAAATATATTGTTCAGCCGATAGTCGACTTAAAACAGTAGAATGTTGTAACTGTTATAGTCATGTTTACAAAATACAGAACTGAGTGTGTTTTGGATGATGAGGAACAAATTAACCAATGCCTTTTCAACGAGGCGTATGGAACGGGTAAATCATAACTATTCTTCTCTCCTAACGATGACTCAGTGGATTTCAATAATCCCAACATGACGAGAAAACATCTTAATTATTCACTCTTTTATTATACTCAATAAATTGCTTAGCAGTTTACTGGAAATACCCTATTACCGTTCTATGCGAACAGTCATCCCCAAACAACCTTAATACTACCTCCGCAGTTTCTGATGGCAAACCACTTCTGCTGCGATATCCTTTGTAAGTAACTGATATTTTACCCAACAGCCGACCAAAATACTTCAAACTGAAAGTCCCGGAGAATCAACGCTTGTCTCTCAGTGAATAAATTTCACACACGCACGGAGCCGGAGTGACAGCCAAATAGAATATTTTCATAGATCTTACAGTTGCTGGTTGCGGTGGCGGTTAGAGAACGGCCTATTGTTCCTCTTATGAAAGAAGAATGGAAACATAACATCGGATAAAAATAAAAGTAACCATATGACTTTGATTCAAAGTTAAGTCGTTGTAACTTCAACCGAGTCGTACGTAACTCCACGTGAAACCACCCAGTTTTCATAGTCAATAAGGCAAAAATCACATATCTTGTTTATCAGTTCAAAAAACTGTTTGGAACATATACGAGTGAGTATGTGAATATCTCCATGTAAAAATAATACTTTAGGTCAACAGTGTGGAAAAAAGTACAGGGGAGCAAAACAATAATTTCGCTAGAGAAGAAAGGAAGATATGAGTATAGATTCAACGGGAAATTGTCTGAGCTTTCGAGTTTGAGAGATAAAGCATCGATATTTGTGCATGCAAGTAATATTATGAGAAGATCAGTGATTAATGTCACTCCGAAGTACTCAGCAGATTCAAATCTACGTAGCTGAATATTGTGTGGAGAATAATGATTATTTTGTAAAATATGTGCGCTACAGGATTGAATTACATTAAAAAACTAGGAAGGGTTGACGGAGAGACTTCTCGGTTCCGAAGAACTCTCAGTGTGTGGGGTGCGTGAACTAGTACTCTACTTACTCGCGACTCTGGTCTTTTCACTTCAGAGGTCTCGCAGATCCGAGCAAAAGTTGTTGCATTACAATATATATATATATATATATATATATATATATATATATATATATATATATATATACCTACATTGTATATATTTAAATCGGATCCACCCACGAGTTTAGAAATTATCGAGAGCAGCCTCTCCAACCATGAAATGAAGTTTCATGAAGTTTCACTTCCAGTTCAGACTACCCAAATATCCGTTTGACCAGTAGGAACTAAAAGGCTCAACTCACCATTTTAATATACGGAAGTGGTGTACAGTAGTGAAATCGATCTCATTTAAAACTTCCTACTTCTCACACTGATAACGTTTCCAACTTTTGGAAGCTGTTTGCACGTTTATTGTCATCAGTCAACTTGGGATTCTTACGGGGTATACTTCCATACTCAAGATATGCTAGTGTACCACAATGATTAGGTAGCTGAACTGCCAAATTAGCTAAAACAAAATGGATACTCAACGAACCACACTCATGTGACATTCACATCTAGGTCATGTGTTCTAAATAAACCGAAAGTTTCATTCCAGCTCGCCTGAAATATCCACAGAGAATAAGCAAATAAAGGGCAAATTATTCACTTATTATCCTCCAACTGTGTTCCATTTGGTTTTGCTTTTTCCTGTCAAGCAGACACATGGTAATCACTTCGCCAAAAATAAATGATTCTGATATGATCAATATTTATTCATCAGTAACTACAATCACCTTTGGAGAATTCTATATTCAAAGTTTTACCAATTTCTGTCTTGAAGTTTCGGGACATTTAAATTGGCTGTCAAAATAACACAACTTAAACTGCAAACTGGTAGCCGTATAGCTGAAGTTACCAACAAAATTTCGATAAAATTTCGCATTCCAGCGCAGCTTTGTCATATAGTGATCTTCTCTGACTGGGAAACCATTAAAAATGTCTATGAGAAAAATGGTCTGGGGGCCTTAGATCAAAATAAACTGGTTAGACCAAATCCGGCGTCATTGTCTAATGTGTGATTGAATCAGATAGAAAGTGCAGCGCAAACATAGCCAAGAAAACACAATAAAAGTGGAACGAGGTTTCGGGAGAGAAACAAGGAGAACCTGAACTTGAGTCAAATAGTCTTGAACTCAATATATCTACCAAATGCAGATGGCGAGATGTTTTGATGCAATATTTACAATGTTCACTGAAATTTCTATTCCATTTGTTCTTCATTTCTTGAAAGGAATACTTACACTATCCAAGAGAGACGAAAAATCGATTGGCCTATTGTTTCATCGGATACGAACACTTGAATCGCTCTGAGGCGGAGATCCGAAGTCGACCGGAGATGCAACTTCCAGTTAGAGCATTCGGAAATGTGAATATGGCACTCTTTCAAACATTGATGATGATGCTTGGTGAATACGAGCATACAGAGGTGATCACCAGGCCCTATTTGGATGGATTCTCTGCCACAATTTACACGGTCGAACTGACATTTGCGTTCTACGCGGCATTCGCTTTTACAACGCCTATATCACTGGTGAACCTAATGGTGAGGTATACATGTGGACCAGTTAGTCACTTTTACCAACATCTTGAGCATTCTGGTTGTATCCCAACAATGGACCGGTGACTATTTTCTGTGATTTATGCGTAAACTTACGCTACAAACAACGTGATTGTTGGTTACTGCTGGCAGTCACTGGTTTTAGGCTTTGTCCAAAGATCGAGATAATATACCGTATTCATTCATGAGGCACACGCGAAATCATTTGCAATGACTTTTTCATAAGCATAAATCTGCCGATTGATGTATTTCCTTCTAACCGGTATCTCGGTTCACAGACTCACTCACTCGGTTAAACTGCTACGACACAGGGTATCAATAAATCTTATTTTACTTTCATCACAAGTGGCTAAATACAACAGGTTTTATGTGTGTTGGGTTGAAGTAATGGAAAAAAACGACGACCGGTGACAGTTACACACCAGAACACGGTGGTACTCCCAACTGAGATATGTAATGTTAATTGTCATGTCGGTTGCACGCAGTTGATGACTAGTTTGTGGTCTATTGAGCTGATGACTAGGATGGACTCATAGACCATTCGGTATTCCTAGGAACACAGAGGGGTATCGTTCAGCCGAATCACAATCGCTAGAGTTCGTCTTTTACTGTTTCTTTCTGCTCCATCTTTAGTGGTGTAGATAGAACGACAGACCTCAATGGCTTCCCGAAAACAATTCAATTCCTTCAAAATGATGATAATTGCGGTTTGACCACTCCTCACTAGTTCTTCCTTCAATATGCTTTCAAAAGGTCTTTTTGGATTTCGAATCAAGTAATTTGCTCCACAAGTGCATTTGAATTGTGACACGATGAGAGTCGGAATCCGCGAATAGTCAGTCTTTCGGTTGTAAGGGGAAAAGTGGTAGAGAGGAGAACTAGACACGAGATCCAGCAGAGAATTACGCACAATTCGATCGCAATTTGAAGCTGCCTATTTTTTCCGATGGCCTCATTGTCTCCTCTTAGAAAGAGAAACCTCTTTTCTTGATTACTTACTTCCTGATTTCTCAAGATGAGAAATTCCGTCTGCTAGAGTGTATGTTCACATGCTCACTAATTCATTCGTGTACTGAAACACATATTGGGCGTCTTGATAACTTGATTCTTCTCATTCTATTAATTGACTACCAACCAACCTGAGCATGTGGGTATGCTAATGATTATTTGCTGCTCATTTACGGGTTTGTGGACTACCCTCGTTTGACTTCACAGTACTTGGAGTCTCCTGGTGAAAAGAAACTCATCATCAGACCGGATTGTTGTGTGATTGTGTAAAAGTATTATCCATACAGTTCGAGTGAGTGGAAAACATCAAATCATGGTATGCTGGCTTCAAACGATCAATCAAAACCTAATCCAAGGAGCACTTACATTATCATGAGCGGTTCAAGTTCAACACTGGGATGATGCCCCATACACTGATCATGTGTCTCAAGACTTGGGGAGCAGATATTCAAGAGCCAATGGGATTCATATCATGTAAATTAGACTGAAGCCTAGAACAGTTGGATCTCACAGTTTGAATAATGTACTAAATAGCTTCTCGATAGAAATTAACATCCATACATGAGGTAACCAGTCATTCAGGCCTATGCATGTAGCACCAGTCATTCTTCGGTCTGTCAGACTTCGATTCCAACAGGCCTACTAAAATAATCAAAGTGTAAAAATACACATTTCAATTTCTGTACCCTACTTCAGGCAGCTACTACCCTTTTACTTGAGTGACGTTTATCAACAAGAAATCTCATCTATTCCTTGTATTCTAAGCTCTAAACTGGACAGGGAAACGCAGTGATTGTCATCTTCACATGTCCACCAATATAAATCGCCTATGTGAACCTAGAAAATGCTCGGTACACAAAGGCAACAAGCCCAGCTGAAGGCCTGAGGAAAAGTATCAGGTTTCTATTTTAAGACGGGTCTTCTACAACATCAAATCTCCGCGGCACAATCAATATTAATGGGTTCATTACCATCATCTACCGATATGGCCCGAAACGAGAGAAGCGAACTATTACTCATATTAGACAAGTACTCCACAAAGTACTAGAGAAAATGGTCATCACCTTATCACGGAGTGCTGGCTTCACGCTTTCCGTCAAGAACTAAGCTAAAGCATCTTGAATTAATTTATCAGATCCCAGATCCTTTCAGAGTGTATCGAAAAGACGACGCGCCATGTGATACGTTATAGGTAAGTGTTTATTGTTCGGTACCACAGCATTATTAGAAAAGATAGTAGTCAGTCGACGCTTCGGTTACCGTGGGTAACCTTTCTCAAGACCAGTTTGCAATCGAGAAAGGTTACCCGCGGTAACCGAAATGTCGACTGGCCAACATCTATCCAACAATGCTGTGTTACTGAACAATAAACATTTACTTGTTAAACATCTGGGTTGGCGGAACAGACACTCAATACATTACGACGTGTTCTGGCCTCACTTTGGTAAATGTACCATTTGCCGTGTACAACCATGTGGTCACACACACGTACACAGTTGACGTTTGGGGAGTTTCGTCCAATCAGACTGCATCACGTGTTGCACGACCTTGCGCAGCTTGATCCTGTTGTACAATGTTTTACGCTTCCGATTTCGTAAATCACTGAATTACGCACCTGCACACGTGTTTGCTCTTCACTTGCGTGCTTGTACTGGCGTTTGCAGTACGTTGCTACAGAATAGTCGTTCACCCGTACAAGTGCGCCTTCATTCTATTAACCGAATTTGGAACACAACACTATTGACAAATTTTATCGTGGTCCTGTGATAGACCCCAAAAACTCTTCTGCAACAGAGGATAGTATACCGATGAGTCCCTGACTGTGTTGTGTATCTCTTTAATAGTGAATACGTGTTTGGTAGTGAGATGGTTGAATTTCATCGCATAATTCTTTTCTTTTCGTTTGTTCGTGGAGAGGAATGAAATTCGAAAGTGTACCGAATGCACCATAAGAGAATACGATATCGATCACAACTAATTCGTTGATGCATGATAAGATTGAGTCGCTTTTAGAGCGCCCGTTGTTTCCTTAGATAGCGAGCTTCATTTTCAACACTAACGTGAAACTATCTTTTATTCGTGATCTGCAATGAATTGTGGATTTTGATCACAGATTGGTCTTGCGGTTGGAGATATTGGTCAGATTCAACGATCTGCTACACTTCAAGTGGTCGCACAACAAGTCTACAGGTTGGATCAAGTGGAATCAAGGTTGTCGAAGTGGCTGCATAAAAAAGCACAAGTGAAACACTGGGTTATTCGACCACCTCTGGCATTCAACAGACGAGTAAGTGAAACCATGGAAATAAATCTCCCTGAACCAATTTATTTCGGTCAGGAACAACAATTAGTAGCTGAAACCGGTTTTTGGAGTCTCGGTCAGATTATTGATTATGGGATGTTCGTTTTTGATATTCTGTTACCATTCTTATTCATATTAGCTGATTGCAAACTTTCGAAATCTTGAAAATAGATTTGTGTCTTCGTCATTTCGGTTGGATACATTGTAGTCGAAAAAATACTATATTCCGATTTGTTTGTTTGTTCACAGAATGGTTTGAAGTAAATATGAGACCTAATCATTAATTTGCAAGTTTGAAATGGACGTGTTTAGGAATTGGTGTTTTCGGGATGAAGTTCTATCAGCAAATACATTACATGAGTGCTGAAGTCCCTTGCGTCACTTCACTCCAAAGAATGTTTGATGGATGCAACTGACTGCTTCTCTTTTCATCTATCGTTTTACAGAAACCTCACACAGTGGAATTGAAATTTGCGCTTACCAAGCTAAACAAGGAGTGAGTGAAAACATGTATTCGGTCGAATTCGATTGTAAACTCGGTTTTTAACAAAGCATTCGAAGCGAATTATGACCACCGAAAGCCCACCATCAGTGGCTGATTCAGCATTACCGTACACTAATGGAAGAACACTACCCCTCCCCACTCCATCTCACCTATTGTGACAATGTCTCTATTGTCCCGATAAGATGTATGAGCACAAGATTGGGGATCGGTGAGACAAAATTTTGCCCTCCATTTATGCCGTTCTAATGACTATGGAACTATTCAAAATATATATAACATACAGTACCCAATATTTCACATTTTGTGCACTCAGAGTGGAACTCGGTTTCGAAAGTACAAGAAATGATAATAAACACACTCGGTGTTTCTATTTTTCTGTGATTTATTCTAAACTGGACTATTTAGAAGGACCAAAACTGATGTGATTATTTGTCAACTTACTACTATATCACAATGCACACGGATTTGATGTGTGGAACAGATAAATGAATTTATTCCCTTAAAGGAATTTGAGAGGGTGCGAAATGCAAATAATCTCACGCCTAGACAAATGGCTAAAACTATAAACTGGTCGGGAAAAGCAGTGATCTCTGTTAATAAATATTGGAATACAATATCTAAGCATGCTTGCCATTATATTCGGGATGTTCTCAAGTCATTTGCTGTCTCATTCATCGAGAAAGACCGACTCCAACTTGCGCAAAGTGGTGAAGACTCTTCCTTTCGCATAGGATCACCTAGCTAATACACACCATGCATTTTCAATCAGGTTCAAGTCTGGACTGTGGGCAGGCCAGTCCACGGCCATGATACTCCGGTACAATGGCCACATTCTGATGGGGTTGGCCGTAAGTACGGATGTATTTCATCTTGAAAGGTAATGGGCCTCAGTCGAATAACGGAATCATTGGGAGGAGAAATGCATTCGATGTTCTCGTGTATGCTTCAGATATCTGCTTCTATTCTAGAACTGCTAGATGAGGGTTTCCTTCTTCGAAACTGCACTCCGAGACCATCACAGAGCCATCCCCAAAGACAAGATTACTGAGTTCCAGCTTGCTTTCCCTGAAATTGTACCAGTAGTACATGATTCCATGAGGACCACCCAAATTAAACATTTTCTCGCAGCTCAATATCCCACTATCCCATTCAGCATCACAAGTAATGGGATATCTGGTCCGTTCCTCTTGATCTTGGAAATGAAATACAGTCATCTAAGGCATCCACTTCACCTTTCAATGCTATAAATATGGTGCAGGCTGTAGAAGTATCTTTGGATGCCGAACACACACATTCGGTTCTAAGAACCTCTGTAGCTTTGACTCACTCGTGAGTTGGTTCAAAGCACCGCGCAAGAGTCCCTTCACAGACTGTTCTGGATATTTGTCTTCGAATTCCACGTTTCCCCTTAGCCAAATAAGGAATTGAATTCTTCAAAATTTGCGAATTATTGTCGATTTGGGCATTTTCTTGGGATTTTGGGTAGCCTTAGCCCCATGTCTTTGTATTCCACTAATTCTCCTTTTTCTAGATCATATAGCTTTGGATTTCTCGCCATCTCTTGGTTTTGACAAGTGAGAGGTCTCTACTTCTAATTCGAAAGCACTATTCTATTGAAATTCGTTCGCGAATCACCAAAGACATGGATACTGCTGAGTCAAACATCACTGAGAATTGAAAATGAGCCATTACGGACTAAGGTTGTTGCGCTTATAAGCCAGCTCGAAGTTTGTATCGTATTTTCAGTGGCAGGTTTGATAACATTTCGCACCCTCTCAAATTCCTTTAAGAGAATAAATTCATTTATCTGTTCCACACATCAAATCCGTGTGCATTGTGATATAGTAGTGAGTTGACAAATAGTCACATCAGTTTTGGTCCTTCTAAATGGTTCAGTTTAGAATAAAACACAGAAAAATAGAAACACCTAGTGGGTTCAATGGCATTTCGTGCACCATATAACACTTGATCATTGTCTGTGAAATATCTAGAGCGACTCTAAAGAATTTGATGTCTTTCATTTGCATGAACCATGATACCTCCAGTACCACTGCAAGTGGAAGCAAGTGGGACTGTTTGAAATAACTTCCAATAATTGATTTCCGCATGTCATTTTCACCTTCATCCTTTGATTGTGGATACGCACGGGATTTCCTGTTTGCAAAGTCCAGTCAATGGGAATGGAAGGTTATCTCATCAATTATCGATGCGAATAAATTCACCATAAAATCTTCGTCGGAGAAACTCTAATGCTCTGTCACGATGCCTAACTGAGTAGTTGTTGAACATATATGAGTTATCATTGACTTTGACCGATAGGAATTGATGAAATTTCCACGAACAAGAAGGCACTTAGCAAAAGATGGTTGAATAAAACTGCAATAACTTTATGAATTACCACTCCCCTATACATGCTTCTCCACAAGCTCTTCAAGTTTCTTTCATTGTAATTCTTGCTTCCCACATAATTTTACTTTTGGAAGCACTATTCTGCGTTTTTGTTATAAATTCAGAGATGATTCAACTATTATAGGAAAATGTGCTTCCGTCATGGTTCTTCTGTTTGTGCTGGAATTTTTCCAGTTATATGGGTTGCGAATGGTTGGTTGTTCGTTGTTGTTGTTCCTTAAATTGCCCCGGCCTCTCTCCTTATCAGTCTTGCGCGAATCAAACGTCGAATGGCGTACATGGAAAGTGTCCTAGATCAGACGGTTGAACAGACTGGGATGGGATCGTATAAAACACAACAGGATGTTGGAATTTACAGTGACGTGAGTGGTATTAGCGATTATTCCATAGAACCGAATTTCAACTTTGTACGTCCGTGAATATTTCATCCAGATAAACTACGGATTTCTATGTGAAATCAATGTACGACCTAATTTTTTGCGCTAAAATTCTTCAAACGATAGAGTGAAACCTTCGAAACATAGTAAAATCGTAGGGCATAACATAATCGCATTACGCAGAGTATTTGCATACTTCACGAGTTAGTCGCACTTGGTAGATCGACCCATGCTGTGGCTTAGAAATACACCACTATTTCCACTGACAGTCAAGGAAATTGAAATATGAAACTCGGTATTGTGATGCTAATCAATAGCCAAACCACAAATCAAAATGCTGTGAAAATCATGAATGAGTGACCAGTGCGAACGCCATTGTTCAAACAGCCGTCTTGTGCATTACACCCCAGAAACACATACTGCTCTCCGATAACAACGCAAAATGACGTCTTATGCACAGTGGTCTGAAATTAGTTTCATATCAGGTCACAAAAGAACCCCATTAACATAATCAGAACAAAGGATGTAAATGAACATCTGCTTTCAATGACTTGGTTCTCAAGCCATCACAATAACATTTACATGGTAATGAAATGTGCAAGGACATGATCAGAAGAAATAAAAGTGTCTCATTGAACATTTGAGAGATGAATGTGTGATGAGTAGGTGAACAATTTGTTTTTGACCTAGCAACGCTTACTCGAATGACTGGGTTGCGTAACAGGTGATAACTAATTTACGTCACCACTAAGCTATTGTATGGTGTAATCGATTTCCAGTCAGGATAGTTGGAGTGTGGGAACCAAATTTCGTTGCGTGCATAGTTCCGACCTCAATAGACAAATGCCTAATGCTTCGGCAGTTGCAATTGCCCAAAGCCCGACTGAACTTCACTGTGACTGGCTCCTTGGGTTGAATAGGCCGGCTTCATAAATGTCGCTGATCGCGACTGCCGATGCTAGGAGGTTTGCCGCAATCGTAGCGTAGATAACAGAGCGTGTAGATGACGTGGTCGGGAATTTTCATGGGTGTTTTGGTACAGTAGACCTCTTCGGCATCACTCGGCTTTATTCCGCGGGCACACCTCTGGCATTTGCACAAGCAACTGCGGGCTACAAAGCAGCAGTGCTTTCACGTATGGTTGCCGGTGTCTTCCTAGGAGCAAGTTATCCATCGAATTGAATTGAATCCGACCCAGAGGTTCATGCAGCCCTGTTGGTTTGGTGGATTTTCTCTACAGTCGTTAGTGAACAGTAATTCTTCTCCCACTAAGGCAAACCTGTCTTTGTATGCCGAAAACCGTCCCACCGAGGTTTTTGGACCTCGGCAACTCTCAACCCGTTTTATCCCACCTGTGGAGCAGTTTCGTGGGTCGTTGCCGCAAATGCATTATTTAGCTTTGTGGAGCCAAATTTAACAGTTTGGTACATGATGGAGACGAAAGAGATGTAAGATACCCCAAGGCCACGACAGTTCAACAACTCAGAGGTGCTACTCGTATCAGATACCACATGCAATCCTTTGTACCTGTTGCACTCAGATAGATAATACACAGTTCAGTTGTATTTTCCGCATCCAGATGTCCAGTACCGGTAGCCCGAATCGAACCGGTGACACTCAGCTTATCGAGATGGTCTACCAGGTGAGCTATCGCGATACTGTCAGTCGGATGTGATTACCGAAAGTGAATATCCACTGATGCGTTACTACTATTCCAATGATGCACAGCAGTGCCGCACTGGACTTTTGGAAGCGAAAAATACAGGCGAATTTTCATTATATATAATCCGGGTACCTTGTACCGACACGGATATGTTTCACTGTCCATTTGGTGGCATTCAGTCATGTGTTGCTCGTATTATTGGAAAGGTACCAACGGAACTAGTACAGTGATTGAAAGGCCTACAGTTTCTGTCTCACTGGAATAGCGGATGCGCATCCTTGGATATTCACTTGCGTTATTCACACGCAGCTGACCGCATCGTGGCAGCTCAGCTGACAGAGCGTCTACCCGGTAAACGGAGGGTCACCGGTTCGGTTCCCCCACGCGACGCTGAAATCTTGAGTTGAAAAGTGCAAGTGGATTTTCCATTACTGAAGATCTAGGTGCCTCCTGTCGAAAACACATTCCACGAACATGTTTTTATTTATTTTGCAGCAAATGTTTCTAGAAACAGCCAGGTTTTATGTAGTCGGAGACAATCAGTTAAGAGAGGATGACCGTGTCACACTATCCTGTATGCAATCTCAATTAGAATGAAATAAATTTGTATGAATTTCTGATGAAGTGGGTATGTGAGTGGGTACCATTTGCCTACTTAGAATTCCAACGTATGATTACTGAGGCAGTAGTTGGACCAGCATCCTAATTGATCTCTTCGCGTTTCGGGTGAACAGATCTAGTATAGTTTCAATCTCAGTTGTTCATTATTTCCGAAGAGCCACAGAAATCCTCGCGTGCTCTGTGCTTTGTTAGCCTACGATTAGGTATTGTGTTTCTATGGTGCACATCGTCAACAGCTGTCTGTACGAAGGCTAAAGGGCACAACAGTTCCCTAACAAACTTCCTTCAAAATCTATGTGTACATTTGTGTTGTAAATAATTCGTACAATATGGGTCCTCATACCAATGTCAATAGCTAACTAGTTTATATTTATGATCCATTCAGGGTATCACACGGATTCGTGTTTCATCAGCATCCACAAAATGCATTGGCTATTCGGCACATCCATGCGTTTGGTTGTATGATTTTATCGAAAAATTTGTAGAATTATCTACTTTATACTCTGTAGATGTTGCTTTTTTCTTCAATTCTCTTCAGGATCCGGTGATCAAGGATTAGAACAAACAGATGGAAGAACAACTGCGAATCCAGTGGAAACCTGTTAACGAGTTCACTGACATTTACAATTGATTCAATTCCCCTCGTTATCATCGTAGCCAACTCTTCTCACCTCGAAAATGAAATGTAGTGTGCTACTCAGGTTTTTTCTACTTTGCGCAAACACTGGAGGTAACTGAAAAACATGCGGATTTGAGGCTGCGATTTGGGAGGGCAACTTTCTCTACGCGGATCTATGTGAAGAATCGTTGAATAGAATATTCGCATTGTTATATCATAAATATGTTGTATACGGGAGGGTCCACTTGTTGTTCTAGTATGCACGCGTAAACTATTTCGGAGAACAGTTTCCACAAACAACTTCGTCGGTAAAATAACAGCTGACTCAACAAAGGTTGAGTAGGACAGTTTTTCGTGAGTAAATTCGCATCTGCCAGAACAAATATCGTCTAATGGACTGGAGACTTTTATTTTTGAGCCACGTGGTTTTAAAGGGACTCATAAGACCATCAATCGAACAGAAAATTCCCGGAAAAACTCTTTCCGATGACTCTGAGATTGTTAACAACCACCACCTCATTTTATATAAGCTGTAATAAATGACAGACAATCTGATTGACAGAGTCTTATCAAATTAACCATGAAGAAGGCACATTCACCGTGTTCAAAAAATGAAGTTCCCAGTTCATGAGATCAAAACTTATTCCACGAAAACTGCCCTAACGCAGAATGATGCGCCAATTCATGTCTAACACGAGAATTTTAATCTTGTAAACTTGGACGCATCTAGCCATTTGTTATCGAATTTCGCATTAGCAAAGCCACTGGAAAATTCAACGTTTCAATATTCACAACTCTCGGTTAAGGGAACCATTTGAATAAGAATGGAAATTTATCTTTTGTGTGTAATGATCAAGCCGTAAGCCATCTGTTGATGCATATACTGAGCTTCGGCTCCTGGGAGTTTTCTTGTTGTTATGCTTTTGCAAACCGAACCCGGCGGAAGATCAATACTTCTTGTATGTCATAATACAGCTAACAGTAACTAGCTCAGCTCAGAGACTACCGATTACAGAATGAATACGACAGAAACAGGATCCTAGGATTGAATTATCCACATTTTCCGGTGACAGCATTGTGTACCTTAACTGCATTCGTCAGTTTTAAACTAAGATTCAGAGCACAGTATCCGATAATGTATTAGGGCTTCCATATGTATTACGTAATCGTGTCTTTCATGTGGTGCTGAACTCCGTCTCATTGACTGCAAATCAGTGGTTTGCAAGTCAGCTTAATGCGAACACTTTCTGATTTCTTCCAGTCTTGATCTGCTGGGTCTTGCAGTGGACAGTGCACCAACCACCACAGCTTGTCCAATGTTTAAGAACTCCTTGTCGTTCAGAAAAAGCACTTCAAATGACTCACTGACGAAGCCAGTTGCCTTAATGAAACTTATCTTAAGATGGGGACACGTTTCTGCTGGAGTCACTATCTGGAAATGCATATCCCATTATTTCATTTTGTCTTGAAATTTTGTCGGTGGCACCCCAAAACACACTGCTGGACTGGAGTCTAGCTGATTCATAGTGACCCTCGACATTTTGTCCAGGTTTGTTATCGGAACTCCGTGCAGATACGTGTAGCAACTGGTGTTGTCGAACAATACTACTTGCGATGACAAATCCGGTGTTTGTCATGCAACAACCAGCTCAATACCTTCGTTTGAGGCACAGAAAACATAACCTGTTTCTCTGTTCCTCGGTCCGCTTGTTCATTTCAATTCATTCAATCATGAATCTTGCAACTCCGTGCTCTAGTTTCGGTTGCCACCTTGCAGAAACATACACTTGAAAGCAGAATGGACGGGAGCATAATATGAAGGGGGCCGGAAAGCAAATACCAAGTGGAAATATAGACGTGCGCTTACGTCGGCGAGTGGATGGCTTCGCCCAACTATCAGTGCACAGGAAAGCAACGTGGAATGGGCAGTATATGCACTTTGAAAGTTTTGTGCCACTCAAATTTAAGCACAACTTAATTCGTTGCTTGGTTAAAAGAGTGAACAAAATCTGTACTGAGGACACAACGGACAACGAACTTCGGTTTCTGCGCAATATGTTCCTGCAAAATAGATATCCTGATCGTTCCATTGACAGGACAAGGCAATAAGTGGAAGAAAGAGCGAAGACCGTTGTTGTCCCAAAATGTCAGTATACATCAGTTTCATGTAATGGAAAATCCACTTGGCGCGCGCCGGCCTCAGACTTTTCGATGTGAAAAATGCAAGTGGATTTCCCATTACATGAGATTCAGGCTCCTCGTGCCAACTATACCTTCTGTGAATACATCAGTTTGGAGCTCAAAGGTAATTACCCAATGGATAATAAACATCACAAATTATCAGGAACTGGTGGGAAAACATTTTACGCGACAAAGCTTCTATTTGTATTTACATCAAAGGATAAGGTATCAGGTTCTATGGCTTTATTCTGTGCATATTTTTTTACTTGGTCCTGTTAGACTGCGTACATTGGCCGTACCACCAGACGCTTATCCGGACGTGTCCGTGAACACCACCCGACTTGGTTGAACACTGGAGTAATCAAAGTGAATACGAGTGCTGTGTTTTTACACTTTGTTCAGTCTAGCCACTCAGTGAATGTGACCGAATAGTTCCGGCCAATATACAAATTTCAAAATGAGCAATTACGACTGGTGAAGTGCCGTATGCTAGCCACAGCGGAAGCTGTATGCATTCGTCCCTACAACCCGCTGTTTCACTCCCCAAAATAGTCCGTGCAAGTGCCATAGCTTCCTAGGCCCAACCCCTACCCCGAAACAAACCACAGATCTGCTGATCAGTCTAGTGACACGGAAGATACTCATTCTCGCGGGTGAGATTTGATCTCCTCTCCTCCACTTAATTTTGACTCATCGCCTTATCTTGGTTACCGTTCTGTTCACTTAACATTGTTCATATAAAATGTTATGCAATGGCATGATTATGAATCACTGAAAAAGAGCTTGTTCGCCACCTTATGTAGTTCTCCATGTGCTCTGTGGAATTATTTGGACATTTAAATCACAAAGACAAATGAAGTGGTGAATGCGACCACGCCACTGGCCACGGCACCCAGCTACGCTACTTATTGTATCCAGTCCTCTGATTGGCGGGTCTCGTGGACCCCAACCAAGAAGTCACACACGTCCTAGTTGACCAAGTCTATTGACCGAGTTTTTCGTATCTTTTTGCCATGTCATGAACTGACCACCTCGACGTACCTACCATGCCTTATTCCATCGTGACGGTATTTCTAATTTGATAAACTTGAGACAAGAGGACAGAGCACACTCTTCAGTGCATACAGCACGTTGTTGTATCTTACGGTCTTTCCTGTTAGCTGGTAAAGTTCACATTGTAGTTCAGTGCAAATTGACGGCCACGTACAGTATAGAGAGCCTAGTCAAGTCTGTTTGTTGTCCGACCTCGATTCTTTAATTACCCAAAGTGACTTTGTGCAATCCATGTCAAGGCAGTGACAAGCTCCATCAGTTCAACGAAGTTTGCCTCTTCGTCATTCTGAATTATAAGATCGACTCTTTCGGCTTACTTACATTGCGATGAGCGTAATAACCGTTTCACTATTTGTTCGAGCTTGGTTAGCGCACCTGGATCGAGTATGTAGTCCATTTGCTCTAAGGTAGGGTTATATCCCTCGATTGTAACAGTTAGTGGAGATATCGTTTCCGAGTCGATATGGTCGACACCCGACCTCCCCATAAATCATTCTAAGAGAGGACGGAGCACTTCGTGCAAGCGATCAAATTTGTCCTTTAATACTTGGCAGGCTCTGCCACGACCAGTGGGGGAGGCAACAGGACTAATTTCTCAGTCGCCTTGAGCGCTTTCCACTTGAAATAAGGAAGTAGGTATAATAAGCATTGAATACCATCTTTGACCTTCAAAGATACGTAACTGTAGCTGATTAATGAACTTCCGATGCATGGTAGACAGTATATCAAACAAGAACATTTCAAACTGTGGGAGATCCAAACCGAAAATGAGAGCGAAAAAGGACCTAACAATTTTTGTCCCAACCACTGTTCTCCATTTTCTTCATGGTAAATGGTACAAATAAACAAATTATTGTCAGCAACGGCGGTAGGATCCAATTTACCAAACTTATAAACCTGATCCTTACAATCTGATGATTCGACTGAACCCGGGGACACTTCATCGGCTAGATTATCAGAAGGCTTTTCAACCTCCAACTTTAGCTGTGCAGCAATAACCTCTCTTCCTTTTCTTCGAATATTTTATTTTCCTTATCATATTGCCTATAGTATACACCCGATGAGACATGGCAAAATCTACCCGGATACAAATTGTACAACGTAACTCAGTTGTGTTCTCTTCCCAACCGAGTACTCGTCAAAAGTGAATCCGGACAAGTAAACATTCTGTACACATTATCTGGACAATAAAACAAGTTTATTAGCGTTACCGTAAGAAAGATTTGCTCGAATCGAAGAGAGCTAACACGAGAGAGCAAAAGAGTGAACAATCAAAGTTGGTTCAAAGTGAAGCAAAACTGAAGAATTTGGTAAAATAAACCAGCATAAATTTTCAGTATGAAAGTAGAAACAACTGAGTATGCGCATAAAATACGGTGAAGCGTGCATCACTCGCGATGTCGAAAAGTGTCACGAAATTTGCTGCTTCTCTGTAAATGATCTGGCAAGCAAATGTGATAAAAAATAACTTCAGGAAGTTAGACGTAGCCACTATCAGAGAAACGGCAGAGAAGATCGATCCTCCTGTGAGTCACTGAAGTGAGATAGAATATCATCAGACAAAACTTCCTCAGCCTAACCAGTCAATTCGCTCCTCTGGAGCACATAAAGCGGTTGAGCAAACCACCTCTGTGGTCAGGTCGAGCAACCAGGGAAAAGATGGAAAAGAAAACGATTGGTGCTGTTTTCGATTGGGAGATGTTTGG